CAGAGCGAGTTGTCTGGATCATGGATCAACCTCAATAACCTGAATGTACTTTTGATGACTATGTAATTTAACACAATTTAACAATTAGTTTAACTAATTGAATTTTTTAATAGGAAGCCTATTGATACCCCACCCCATATTAAAAACTGTAAGGCGCAACAAAGGGCAAGTCATTATAGTTTTGAGAGATAAATTTTGATTATCCGTATTACCGTTACATTATGTTTCAAGCAACTAAATGTTTTGATAATAATGACCATAAAATATAGTTGAGGTAATCATGTTAGAACAACAACAACGTTATTTATATAGTTGTATTAATCATATTATTTGATAAATCTGACAATATTTTTGTATTTCAATTCACTATAGTTTTAAAATTTCTGTAACCATTGACAAAAAGTTGAGGTGCTATTTGACCACATTTTTATAGTTGTAGCAATTATTTTTTTCTCTCAGTGAAGCTATTTTGGGGCTCACAATTTTTCCCAGAGCAGTTCTGTAGTGCGCGTGACGATGGAAGAAGGCTCCGAGCGCAACAGGAAATTGAGGCAACTTAATCATAAAATTTTTTCTCAATATAAATATAAAGGCGTTTGTTAGCATACCCGCTAACAGAGAAACTCGCGGAGATAATAACGAATGCCTCTCTCTCGCTCTCTCTCTCTCCTCGTCTTTTATCTTCGCACGCAGACATCCTCGTAGTTTTGTCTCGTCGCGCGGTAATTCCGCGAGTGGATGCAACGAACGGTCGCTATCAGTCTTTTTCCCTTTTTCCGTAAAAAATTAATTGGATAGGATTCTCGCGGAGTGATTCGCTTCCTACTCGTTTTACAGCCCGCTCCCACGAAGGCACGAGCGAAGTCGGCGATGGTAAGCGTCATCGGCCTCTCGAAGCACGTACATCGGGCCGCCGCGTTTAATGCCAATGTTTCCGCATTCTGGAATCTTATTTCTGAACGGGGAATATTCGCTGTCTAGCCGGTGCAGTGGCAAAAATGTACTGCCGACTGCTCATGCCGTGTCAAATCCTCTCGCGAAACCGCGCGCGAACATCAGCCGGACACCGCGCCGCGCCACGTCGAGATTTTATGGTCTGCATATACTCGACTGTATACGCAAGGTAGTCCAAGATTC